TTGATTCGGTGACTGGGGCAATTGGGATGAGTGTGTTGGAGACAGTGAGATTGGCACAGGACAGAGCAGAGTTTAGAGCTGTTGTACACTGGGTCGCTATGAGTCGCAAGCAACTTGACGGCACATAACAACAACAAGAAGAACAGAAATGTATTTTCTCACAGTTCTAGAGGTGAATATTCTAAATTCGCGGCATTGGTGGACCATTTCCTCTCGCTGTCTCTCTCAGCTTCTGGTGACCTCAGACGTTGCTCAGTATTCCTTGGCTTGTTGATATACTTTACATGGCCATCTCTCCTCCTCCTTGTATGACCTCAGCTCAACTTAATTAGTAACATCTTCAGAAAATATTTCTAAACAAGTATGCATTCACAGGTCCTGGGTGGGGGTAGTGGTAAAATTTGAACATGCCTGTTTGATAGCTGTTATTGAAAACCTGAAAATAACAAATGCTGATGAGGATATGAAGTAAATGGAACTCTGACCCATTGCTGCTGCAAATATAAAATGAGACAGCCATTGTAGAAAACACTCTGGCAGTTCCTAAAAATGTTAAACAGAATTTCCATATGACTCAGCGATTCTACTCCTAGGTGTATATCCCAACAACCTGAAAGCAGGTATTAAAAAAGATAACTTGTAAATTAATGTTAATGAATAAACAAATTGTACATGTGTCCAGACAATGGACTATTATTCAGGTAAAAACACAAATCAAGTTCTGATCCATGTAGCCACATTATTATGTAAATAAGTAAAACCTAAAGCACAAATAATCATTGTTTCTTTATATGAAATATCCATAATAAGAAAATACACAACTGGAAAATAGATTCTAGTTTACCAGGTACTGAGAAGAGAACAAAATAGGGAGTTATTATTGAAGAAGTCCAGAGCTTTTATGGGGTGATGAAAAAGTTTGGGAACTATACAATGCTTATAGACCATACATAACATCATGAGTGTAACTGCACCACTGAATTATACGCTTAGAAATGATTCAAATGAAAAGTTTTACATTAAGTATCTTTTACCATAATAACATTTTAAAACTGAATTATACGTGGTGCTGTGTACTTCCTGTTGCATCACAAATCTGGCTCAAAGCACAGACCTTTAACACGTGTTATTATTTTAGCATGCTATCGAGTAATTTTCTTCTCATTGTCATTTGCCGTAGAGTTGGACCCAACCTATAACTAATCCTCCAGTGGTTTTTCAGAGGCAGTAAATCACACAGGAGATTTCCCATCCTTCTCTTGCAAAGCATCTGGTAGATTCAAACTGTGTGCCTTTGGGATTACAGGGCAACTTCTTACCACTAGGAACTGTCAAATAGATTCTGACTGAAAGTGTTCCAATGTGCAATGGCCAAAACCCTGTCTGTCCTGTACCATTTTTATAATTTTTGTGATGTTTCAGGCCATTGTTGGAACTATTATGTCAATTCATCTTGGTAAAGAAGGGTCTTCTTCTTTCATGCTGACCCCTCAACATTAAAAAGCACAATGTTCAAATTTTGCAGGGACTGGTCCCTCATAATAACATGTCCAGAGTATGTGGGACAAAGTTTTCCCACCATTATTTCTAAGGAGCATTCTGGCTATACATCTTTCAAGAAAGATTTGTTTGTTCTTTTTGGCAGTCTATATTTATTGTTCTTGGCCAACTTTATATTTCAATTGCATCAATACTTC